TTACGAGAGGTGGTCGCTTTACAAGAGGTTCCAAATATAGTGATTTGACTTGGAAACTTTCGGTATTTTGGAAAACTGGTCGCTGAGGAGAGGTGGTCGCAACTGGAGGTTCGACTTATTCAAAAGAGAGGGTTAAACACGAACTCTCATTGGATTTAATCCAGGAGATAAGTCGAATAGTGAACGAGTATCAAATTTTCCGATAGTATGACAAGGACAATGAAACGTCAATTTAAGGTAAAATATGGAGCCATGTATTAGTAACTTTTCAACGCAAGAAAACAAACAAACAAACAAACAAACAAACAAACAAAAGACTAGGCAAAAAGTTGAAATACAAATAAACGAACAGAAACTAAACAAAACCAATGTTATGGCGAAGATTTATTCGTTTTCATTTTTTCCAAAAGGAATGCTAGTATATAAAAATTAAAGCAGCTCTGCAGGGCACAATATCCTCTGCGATAAACCGTGACGTGACGAAATCTTTTCGTAAAAATCGAGCTCAAAATGTCACGCATTTTCCGAGATCAAATGAATACGGTCAGATTTTGAAAAATAATTTCAACAACCTGGGTATAAGCATTCCTTAAAGTCTAAAACAGAAGCCAACAAAAAATAAAATGAAATAAGACAAAGGATCAGAAATTTCTTTTAAAAGCTGCCAAAGCTAATGTGTGTGCCTAGTGAACAATATTTGTAATTACTTATCGATTATTCAAACGCACCATTGACTTTTTGAGATATGTTGTCCCCCTCAATGAGAACAAAGAGCAAAGTACAAAATGGCTAATATTTCTCGTTTCGTAATCTCTTTTCGTTCTGGAATACCGGGATTCCAATCTCCCAAGTGTCTCGTACTATACTCGGAGAACTGATAGAAACTAAGAAATGGAATACAAGAATATCAAAATTCCTTCCATCTTTGAGTTTAATTTATTTTTAACACTTTGGTTATGTTGGAGTTGATACGACTTTTATTAGAACAGTCGTGGGTCGTAGCTTTTACCACACACC